AGGTAGATAAAATACAAATACATTAATATGTATATGTATTTATATAAATATATTAATATGTATATGTATATGTATTTTATTCCTTAAAATAATCTTTGCTCTTGCATAGTCATTTTTATGCAAAGTATTTCAAAAATTTACAGACTGCTCTTTCGAGCATAAATATTATAAATTGTTCAAAAATGTATGATTGCTAAACGAGTAATTAGTAATTGAAAATTTATTCAAAATCATTAATTGGAGGCAAATTAAATAAAAAACGTAAATAAATAACTGAACTTTGTGCCGGAGAAAAGAAACTTAATTTAAAGTTCAATATTTAATATTAAAATTTTGAAAGTTATAATACACAGAGATCTCATTTCCAACACTAAAGTTCATATAAACTATTTACAAAATCATATTATATCTTTTCTTTTATATAAATTAATTTTAAAAGAAATATATTCCATGCAATTTAAAATGATTATTAAAACATCATAATTTTAGAAAAATCTATTAATCAATGAAATTTACTAAGGATTATATTTAAAAAACGCAAATATCGACGTATTTTTATACCTGAAATCTTGAAAATGCAACACGTGACACGACCACGTGGGATCGTTTCAACAAAGAGCGCTATTTAATAAGCCCTCTTGTACGCGCCACTCATAATAAAAACCGAATTATGTCACTATGTGCGCATACGCATATGTATGCTTTCGCGATTTCTACATATGAGAGATAAAGTGTCACATGAATATGTATCATATGAAACCCTGTCATTGTTAAAAAGTTAATTACATTTCATTTAATAAAAGCAGGCGCGACAGCTGCTACGATGAGAGACCCGTTATGATACGAGAACGATAATTGTGGTAACTTGGAAATATAGATAACTACACACCAAAATATTATTCCTTCTTCCAATCATTGTTTTATTTTCTGCTTTCATTCGTGCTAATTATACATATAAAGTTGACATAAATTGTAAAAAATAAATCAATCTCCCATTTTATAAAAAGAATCTCTTTTTCTTTGTCTTTCTCTCTTAAAAAAAACTGAAAATATATTATATAAAAATTAAAATAACAAAAATTAAAAAATCAAGAAAATATTAAATATTAAGAGATTATATTAAAATCATGTTTTTTTATATTCACACAATTTATAAAATATAATTAAATTAATCTCTCATTGAATATTAATTTCAATCTTTTTTCATATATTTGTGGTAGGGAAAATTTATACCCAAATTCACACACACAATTCACAAAAATATATCTCTTATAATTTTTTAAGAACAATAACTATTTCTAATATTTATATAATATGTTATTTATGTTTATTATAGCAGGGAAAGCCAAATAATGTATTTCTGCAGTTAACCACACTGCAGTTGCACATAGTTAAACGTTTGCCATAGCACTCAAGCTAAGTGGAAATGTTTGCTTTTATTTATTGCGGCACTGAATGGGAAAATAGAAGCTCACACACAATACACTCCTCTCAGACAATGCATTGTTGGTACATTAGTGTAGCGTTAATATAAATTATTGACTTATTAAGTTCAATAAAGGCGCTTTTACAATAAGCTTTGCTTTTAATCTTATATTACGTCATCGTGAATTAAAATATGATTATCAGCGCCTATCATTACTGAGGAATAAACAGCAACTCCACATATATTCAAATATAACTATAAACGAAAGAGTATATATTTAGCAGATTTCTGGAATAGAAAAGATAACATTATGAATTTTATATATATAACACAAGATTGAAAAATCTTTTAGTTTATTTATATAAATTAATTGATATTTTTTAACAAAAAGAATCTCTTTTTTTTTGTCTTTCTCTTTAAAAAAAAAAACAGAAAATATAGTATATAAAAATTAAAATAACATAAAAATTAAAAAAATCCAGAAAATATCAAAACAGATAATAATCTTCTCGAAACAGCTAATAATCTTGATGTATACATTTTGTATACAAATATTATTCTTTTGAAAATAATAGGCAACATTTGATTAATTATTCATTTTATCATGGAGTAATTATTTAATAAATCCTACAAAATTATTTTTGTTTAAAACTCCACAACGCGATTGCTCCGTAATAATAATATATAAAATTTTTGTGGCACACTTGATATTTTATAAACAAGAATTTTCAATTCATAGATGCATTGCTGCATATTGACCGTTTATTAAATTGCAAATCAGGCATCTCTGGTGCAATCATCCAACTTATTAAGTGTTCCCGATACATGAAAACTTTCGGCTACACTAGAAACTTGAGAATCCCCGAAGAAAACTATTATTAGATATCAAACTTGGATGCCGTCGTGCAAGCTATCGGGCTTAAGAATATTTACAAAATCACAATACACATTTTATACAGCAATTTTTTTTCTTTCTTCTTCTCTCCATATGCTTCTACACACCTAGGATATATGTCCGAAACTTTTAATTTCTTGCTATTAACGAACCACATTGATACTTTATTTTATGCTCATAAATAATCCTACTCAAATAAATACACAAACTTCTCATCTAATTCTAATCCAGCAAACTTTTTTCATCTAGCATCATATGTATGATTGCTATCATATTTGTCATAAAACTGTAATTCAATTTTTAAATAAAATAATTTCAAATTAAAAAGTTTGTCTCATATTGAATTTTAATTCTCGTTGCGTCTTTACGCAAACTTTATAGTTGCGAAAACAACTTCAACGAGCGAAAATATCAATTATTTATCCAATTGCGTCATATCAAGTAGCAAATTATGCATGCTTATACGTACCATTAACGCAACTGTACTAATACTTGATCAGAAGTTGCAAGCGTATTATGTAGCAGAGACTGCATAAATTATACGCTAAGCTAAACTGAATCTCCTAAACGGCGGCCTAGGATGCGAGGATGACGAATTGATGTTCATTAAATTTACAGTTGCAACAATTAATTGACAGAACGGGACATTATCACTGTGAATAAGCATAGTGGTATTTGACGTTGAACATATGTGAGAAACATTTTTGCATATTACTTCTACAACTTGTTATAAATTATATAAATTTATTTTTTATAAATTATATATTATATAAATTTAAATATATTTTCTGACTTATTATATATATGTATTGTGTTTTTCATACATTAATTAATTAAACTTAATTAACGCATGTAAAGAATGTTTCTTGTAAAAAAAAACAAGAATACAGTTTTTATCAATTATATTTCTCTAATTAGTGACTTTCTACATTAATTAGAGATAAATTTTTATTTAAAATAATATTAATATTAATATAATATTAATATTATAATATTAATATTAATAATATTAATATTTGTATTTAAAATTTCAATTTTATAATGTAAATATTTAAAAATTTTCTATTTTAATTTAATTTTTTAAATTAATTCATCTTTATTATTATAATTAATTGCTAACATTGTAATTTAAATATCTTTTGTATTATGAATTATATTAAGCAGTACATAATTTGGAAAATTAATTATGATATATGGAAATGAAAGCAATATTGTTCCGTTAATAATCAAAGCAGAAATATGACAAAATATTACAGTTCCAACTGTCACATTATTTCGCTTGTTTATGCCAGTATACTAATTAAATTAGAGTAAGTACCAAAACAAATCTAATCATACTCTAATTGCATTTATTAGAATTATTGACATTGAGCATGTAAATTATTGCGATTACCTGTCCGATATAATAGGATATAGAATGTCTTTGTCATGTGTGCCATTTCTATGAACTGCATTTCCCATGAGGAGTGCAGTATTCTGTCGATTCAGGCGTAACACAATAGCTTCAGGACCAAGATTAGGCTTACCTATTGGAACTAAATATATATTGACCAACGCGTGTATGATCTAATACTATCATAAATATGGTTTGTCACTCTCTCTCTCTCTCTCTCTCTCTCTCTCTCTATAGCGGATAGTTGAATTTATAAAAAAAAATTTGTAGTCGCTTTTTCTTCGATCTTTATTACGCTCTTTGAATTATTCAACATCCCTCGTGTATGGTGTAAGGTTAAAAATACCGATATCGGATTTTTAGAATAGCAAACCTCGCACAATACGATATTTGTGTCAGTTTGGCTATCCTCTGCTTCCACCGCAGACTGAGTCATTACGAAAGCGGTGCCGTGCAACGGGAGAAAAATTCTACGCGACCTGGCAAGCATACCGAAAACCATCTCAATCGGAAATGTAAGGATAACGAATCGGCGATACACAATACGCGTCCATTGTGCCTGCCAAGAATCGCGGAACTGTATTCACCTGCAGACCGTGAAAAGCCGTTTTCTACTGAAAGATACCTTCCGCTAGCGAAATTGTTCTCCTCATCGTGATACGAACCCGCTATTCCATTGAATAATAATAATAGTAATGAAATTCGAGCTGCGATACATCTGATCAGAGATTACGAGCCACATGCACATTCGAAGGTTTATTCATAAATCCATACTTTTCAGTTCAAAAAGCCTTTTGATCCGTCATTTAATTTATCTGAAAATATTCATCTCCATTTCTTTTATTAACATTTTATAATCTACTTTTATAAATACGAGATCCCTCAATGCATTCTAACTACTAAAAATATGTAAATAAAAATAAAATATGTAAATACGTAAATAAAAATAAAATTATACATACATCAAAGAGCTTAAATAAAAATGCACAAGTAAGACTTATAAAAGTATGAATTGCATAATAATTATTATTTAATATTCGAATAAAATGATGCTTAATCGTTAAAAAAGTAGCGCTTTCGCAGAATAATATATAAACAAACAACAGATACTCATTTTCCTATAGAAAGAAATGAACCGTGAAATCAATTTCTCGTTTCTCTCTTCCACTTCTCGCGTGTTTTATTCATTTCTCTCATGTGCTCTACTATTTTTATAGTGTTACTGTCGTCATCGCAGATGTAATACGACGGATATGACGAGAATGAGGAGTATCGATGATCGTTACCTTGTTTGGCAGCACGCACGACGACGACAACGGTTGCACAAATCGCCGATAGAACGATGGTGAGGGCTACGTTGATATGCAGTGGATAGCGCCGCATCTCTCCGAAACGAGAAGGGGCCATTCGCGCTACGTGCTATCCTCCGTATCCTTCTTCCTCATACCCTCTTACTGTAATCCTTCTCGGATCGGATTCACCGCCGAAGCTTACCACTAACTTGAATAGAGAGAGCGGCGTGTATCACGAGTATCCTTATCTCACTATCCTGTACTATCCTCCCCAAGTCGCGTCCAATATTTCACCTTCGCGTCTCACTTGTCGTTTCACTCTTCTCAGACCGCGGCCCGAAACTCGCCATGTACCTTACGTCTCGCCGTCTATTTCCGGTTATCGGAAGGCGCCGCTCTTGCGGTTGTCCACCTGGTGCAGCGAAGAAAGGGACGAGGGCTGCCGACCTCGCGAACACTTCCGGCGCGAGTTATCTCGCGCGGCGAGAAATTACCTCGGCATCCGGAATCGCGGCGACTCGATGCGATCGCTCGTTGCTGCGAGGATGATGCACGGCCGATCGTCCACGGCCAACCGGACATGATGCCGGTGACGTAGACGTCGATTGTTCCCGAGTCCCATCGATTTGTCGCGACCTATCCACGAGAGATTGATTGGACGTCTAGATATATGTATGCGATATTTAGTTGCTTAGTAGAGACGTAGATCCATCTCGATTATGACTTCAAGCTTGTCGAAGGTGAAGGCTTGTCGAAGATGAAGATTAAGATGCTCCTGGTTGTGCCAGGTTTAGAATAATTAATTAATTTTCTATTAACTGAGTGGCTTTCTTTCTTATAGGAATATAATGCAAACGGCGTATATGTTCAATATATATATTCATTGACTCAAAGATGAAGTGACCATCGACGCAGCTTAGCTTCTTGATCATGATCTTATTAAAAATAACCGGAGAAGCTCCATGTCTCGCTGATGTTGAGAAATTTGAACAGATACTTTGCGTCAACCAACACGCCTCGGATTCGATGCAGCGATTACATGATTATACACGAGGTGTGCATATCTAATTTCCGTTCTTCTCGCACCCTCGTAGAGCCTCTCTCTGGCCTTTTTTCCGCCATAAATCACCGACCTTGTCGTACCTTCGTATAATCAGCACTCCTCTCAAAGCGAAAGAAGGGCGAGCGTTTACCGAAAATTCGTTATCCCGACATGGAGATTTACGGTTCGACAACTTCAAAGCCGCCGGTACTTCATTGTGCTTAACGAACGTAAACCCCGACGCTCTAATCAGCTGCTCTATGAAAACGAATTATAATTCGCCGTTGAACGAACTATATGTCACGAGAACCTTGTTTGCGCGGCACTTCTGTGTCCTAGTGCAAAGCACTCTAGTTCTCCAGGCACTTCTGAAGAGCAAGAAAAGACCTCCCTTTCGTTCCGCATTCACTCTTCCCTCGAACGGTGCACATTTGTTTTTTCAAAATTTTCTTCTTTATTCAATCACAACGAGATCTAGCGTCTTTTTCCGATATCGAAGATCGTCATCGTCTACTCGGACACAAATTGGACGCAATTGGCACCGTTCACGGGCTGTCGCATCCGGCGTGGATCACTACCACTCTCCGCCTCTCGTCGCCGCAATAACACTCGTCGTGACGTTTACCTGTCGTTGATCGTTTACCGTTGCACGTAGAGATCCCCGCGTCCACGTCCGATCTCCACGAGGAGCGGAACGAGGATGAGTGAATTCGGAGTAAGGCAGGCCAGGGATTCTGGCGCGCGTGCGGGCGGACGGACGCGGGCGCAGTGACGCGAGCGTCCGACAGGCCCGCCGTTTCTCCTCGCTTTCGGCGCGACAGCCGAGCGGCGACGACGTCGGCCGTGCGTGCCCGAGCTGCGTGGCGATCGTCGTCGTCGTCGTCGCGGTACGAAAAACTCTTGTCTTATTTTTTCCCCCCCGAGGAAGAAAGCGCAGGAAGTGGTAGTAATTTAAGACGATAATTCAGCGATATTTCCACCCGATGACTTTGCGAGCGACTTTGATAATTGAACAATATCGCGAAAAAATTTCTGAGATCTCGGAAACGCTAGTAATTATCGCGGAACATTTTTATCGTGATGAATGAACAATAAGTGAATCGCGGTACTGTCGAGAATTTTTTGAGATTGTTTGACAATTTCAAGTATGCAAAAAATTGGATTTTTTTACTTTATTTCATAAAAATTGTTTAATAATTTTATTATAAAATAATTATATTATTAAATATTATTAAATAATTTTATTTCTTAGAACAGTATTTTTATTAATTTAAAAGATACAACATTAAACGCGTAAAAAATGTTCGAGCCTCTCTCTTAAAAAAATCCAAATCTCGATTAATATAATAAAAAGAAGAGTTTATTTTTGAGAGTATTAAATAAAAATTCACTTTTAAAATCTTCATTCATTTATAGAAAACACTAAACATATAAAAGATTAAGTATATAAAAAATAAAGACTGAAGTATATATATTTCAGTTTCTTTTTGCGAAAATTTAAATATTAATCATACAACCAAGAATTACTATATTTATGTTCGAGAGGCTTCTAAAATATCTTACTGCGATAGCTTATAAAAATCTTACTGCGATAGCTTATAAAAAAATATACTAAGCATATAATGCTTAATTTTATACAATGTTCAAAAATGAGATCTTGTGGAAAAATTTTCAAGGTTTTTTTCATTGTGTTAGACGAATAATAAATAAAATATGATATATAAATGTAAGAGAAAAGCCATATATTAATCGATAATTGCTACCAAGATTTTTCTGCCGCTGGCAAATACAATTTGTGCCATATTCTTTTATTTCTTATTACTTTGATTTATTGACCATTTTGCATATTAATATCATGATACAAATCTTTTAAAAGAATATAAGAGTTTAAAATAGTTGTATTTGTAACCATATAATAACTGCAATTTAATTGATGATATTAATAAGCACAATCAAAATATAAAAAGTATAACAAAAAGGCGTAAAGTAAATCAAAGTACAAAAAATAAAATAAAATAACGCAAAACATGTTGCATTAACGACAGAAAAATCTCGATACAAATTGTCGATTAATAAATCTCTCTTGTGTGTTAATATACTATACTTTATTATCTGATACAATAAAAACTGCAAGGTTTCTCTCCCGTCCATATAATCCCTTTCATGCATCACTGTGCACCATCTCGCGCATTCATCTCGTGTTTGTTCGTGATTCGTCTCTTCCACACTGTAAATGTTTCTGGCGCGTTCTCCCAGGCGCGAATTCTCTGACAAATTTGGAGTCGAACTTTGTTAGTGAAAATGATTGAAGCATCGATTTCTATTCTTTTATTCTGCTCTTCCAATGTGTATTTTATTAACTATGTGTGAAATAGAGATAAAAATAATACTTTTTTTATGAATCATTAAAATATCGAATTGATCTTTGTTCAAACTTATTTTTAAATAACCTAAAATATATGTAGAAAAACTTGATTGAGTGCACGTATCAACCTTCAATTAAAATTAAATATACGCATACAAAAATTTTAATTAATTTTTTAAATTCAATTAATTTTTTTTAAATTAATTAAAATTTTAAATTAAAAATGTTGTTAAAGTTTTTTTCAAATTTAAATTGTAAATCTTTATTATATATTTTCTTAAAAACATTATTTGCCAAAATTTTCGATTGTTTACAATTTTAAAATTACTAATCCGAAACAATTTTATTATCCTATATATCCGAAATAATTTTTCTTAATCTCCAATTATAAATCTGGACATAGTAATGACGTTTGGGACACTCTATATATCAAGTATTATAAGATAGTAACTTTGGAAATTGTTTTTTCGAAGGAATTGGAAAGATTCCAAAGTGAAGTCTCCATTTTCCACCATGATATCGTAGAGAATACGCAAAATTAAATTAAAGTTCAATAATCGATGTGAATTCAGTTAAATAATTCTAATAATAATGTAAGAAAATTGTTTACGATATATATTTTTTCTTCGATTATAAATAGATAATTAAATTGCAAAGTAATTTTGCATATATTATATATATGGTGTCAAAATTTTTATAAAATAATTTTTTGCTGTTTGTAATATTTTATAAATATAAAAAGCATTATTTCATTTATATCTTAATTAATCCAATGCAATGCATATAATAACCATATCTATTTTAAATGTAATGAAAATGTAAACGAGCAAAATTTTTTACAATAGTACAAAGTACTCTTTTTTGACAAGAACTTAGATAAAAGCCAAGACTTTAATTATTCAAGATTTCAATGCAATTTTAATTGTTTGTTATACTAAAATTAAATTAAAAATCATGTAAAATGTTATTTTTAATTTAACGATTATAACGTAATCCTATACAAAAAGCTGACACAATAATTAGTAAATTGATGAGAGTTCAACACAATTAATTAAACAAGCTTTCATCGTTTCGTCTTTATTAGTTATTTTCTATTTCAAGATAAAAAGCCAAAATATATTAAATATTAAAAGATAGAATTTTAACGTTTAAATCTTGGGAATTTTCTACCTGAAAAGAAAAATCTCTCGGGACATTTTGTATACGAATGAAGAAAATCTGAGCAATACGCGTTTCGACTGCGTCATCCTCTACTTGCGAAATGTCGCTTGCCAATACTAAAGGTGAGATATAGAACTTTTCGCGAATCTTCCAATATTGGGATTGTTGGTCTTAGATTTATCGAAAGATTGAAAGGAGCTTACCATCCTTTGGGATGTCACGATTTTTCTTCGTCAACTTATTCATCACTATTCAACCTAATCGATATAGAAAAATCCTAACTACCCTAATGTTTACACAAATGATTCACAAATGGAAAATTAATGCCATTATACGTAAATAAATAATTCAATTCTCCTTATGGTAGAATATTTTTGTCAATGTTTCTCGCAAAAAAAATTGATGTTTCTAAATAACATTTTTCCTATATATAATTTATATAGCTTTATATGTTTATAACTTTTTATAACTTTTTATACAATGTTCAAGAAAAATTTACTTTAAAATTTAATTTAAGAGAATGTTTCTTTTTTATTTTTCATCCAAAAATGATAAAAAAGTTCTTATTTTAAATTATAAGATACATTTTAAAATAGAATAACAGCTTAATATTTGAATATTCAATATATATATATATATATATATATATATATATATATATAAATCGATATTTTAAAAATACGAAGACAAGAAATATGAAAAATGGCATTTTTCTATCGAATTCTGTCATTTTAAAAAACTCATGAATTCGGAGAACTGTTACATATTCATTATCCAACGCAATACTAGTTAAATAATTTTAGAAACATCAATTGCTTGTTTAATCTGTACACGTACTTTAGTCCCAAAGAAAGGTATGACTAAATATTATCTCTCCACAGAATTCAATTATAAAAGCTATCACTTTCCAGAGGAATCTAAAAAAGTGCGGCCAACAGCGCATGCCGCCGATGACAAAGTGAGGGACAGATTTGCATATCGCGTTGGACGCGTTTAAAAAAAAAACACGGCGAAGCCGCGGGCGGGATTTGACGTTGGGTATCAGTGACGCCACGTGATTAATTAAGTACACGAGACGATGAGTCTCGGAATACTCGGGGAAGCACTTTGGCCACGCGATGATAGAATGGAGCTGCCGTTTCCAGACACCTGTGACTCTGGACGGCGAGCAAAAGGGAGGAAAAGAGAAGCGAAACGAAGTCGAATAGTTCAATCACCTTTCGATAGTTAGACCGTTGGCCGTACCGACGAATTTCCGATAGACATTTAATTATCCTTCTTTCTCTCATTTCTCCAAACGAGGGACTACCTTTCACGAGGGCTCGAACGTTAATTCGATCGATCTGCCTGCTCACTACACACGGTTACCACTAAACTGCATTGCGATGGAAAAAACACATAAAACATAAAAAAAGAAGACATTCAGCAGCTGCGTTTGCAACCCAATATTCGTTGTAAATTGAAACATAGTTGTGATCTTGTATTTATTTTCTTTTTACTCAAAAATGGTAAATTCTTTTTTTTACTCTTTTCATAGTTTGAATTATTAATACATTCTAATTGCAATAATGATCTACGAAAAAGTAAAAAAATAACGTAATCTGCTAGGTAGCTACTTATACAAAAAAATATACATTATATAACAATCTATTTTCAAGATAAAAATCTAAAAGTTAGACTAAAAGAAGACATTCAGCAGCTGCGTTTGCAACCCAATATTCGTAAATTGTAGAAGACATTCAGCAGCTGCGTTTGCAACCCAATATTGTAAATTGAAACATAGTTGTGATCTTGTATTTATTTTCTTTTTACTCAAAAATGGTAAATTCTTTTTTTTACTCTTTTAATAGTTTGAATTATTAATACATTCTAATTGCAATAATGATCCACGAAAAAGTAAAAAAATAACGTAACCTGCTAGGTAGCTACTTATACAAAAAAATATACATTATATAACAATCTATTTTCAAGATAAAAATCTAAAAGTTAGAATAAGTTAAAATCACATGGAATTTTATCTTTCTTTTTTGTACAGTCAATTGTACATTCAAAATAAACAAGACCTATTTGAAATATTTTTATCACATCATCTCAAAAACCGAAATGAAAAATTAAAATATTTGAAAGTAACCTTGTAGCAAAATTTATAAACATCATGGCTTATTCAAGCCTGTTCGCCATCTATCGAAAAATTTGATTACTATTATACTACACATATACATATATATTAATAATATGATGTGAGAAATAATTATACCTCGATACAGATAATATTATCAACATCAATTCACGACAGAAACGCGAAAAATACAGAATAATTTCGATGCATAAATTAGCGTCATGAAGAACATTATACATGCATTACAGATATAGATAAATATTATTTACATTAATAGTACACGTACATTTTCATTAGTACTTCATTGTCCCTCGCCTGATTGGTTCATTATCTGTTCGGCTGGCTCATTATCACACACGGGAATCAGTCTGCTGCGAACAAAACTCGCGATGAATACGAATGATTGCACTTGAACGCGATGCGCGAAAATACGACGCTGCACGAAAATGCAAATATTAAATCTCGATCGACGCCTGCCATCGCACACGATAATAATACTCAACGATGCTTGTCTCTCGCTCGATGTGACACTATTTATCACACTCGCGGATAATTTTGGACGAGTAAAAATCGCGAAAAATAGCGGAACGATCGCGTTACTTTGCGACGCACGAAACGAATGAAAATTCAACATGGCGCCTGGCGCGTCAGGCGCGTTCTCGCGCACCTACGGCGCATGCGCGCGCATCGAGAGAGCTGTCAAAATTGCCATGCATACATGGAGAGGCGCACATACGTGCGTTGCGATTTTGACAGCTTGACAAAGTGTGACGCGAACAGCAACGTGTCGATTATGTTATGGCATCTTTCATGATGCGATCTAAATAATAATTAAACGTCAGCACAACAAATGTTTTTGATAATAATATCTATAAATGATCCAAACTATCTTATCAAAATTTAGTTTTTTATGCGATATTACATATATATCAATAATATGATATGAGAATCGATTATTTCTCGATTAAGATGATATTATGCATATTTAGGAAAACGCGGGAAACAGAATGATTTAGGTGCCATGTTTAAAATGACGTCATGAAAAAATTTGACGCACAGATGCAGATAAATTACTTACATTGATAATACTCGTATATTTTCGTTGTTTCCCGTCTCATTATCCGCTTGGTTGTCCTATTATCACACACGGGGATCAATTAACTGCGAACAAAAATCAACAAATAGACGAATGATTACACTTTAACGCGATGCGTGTGACACGAAATTTCGACGAGACGCGTCGAAAGGCGCGCATGCGCGTCGCGATTTCTGTGACTTTAAAGTGCGATATGTCAAACGATATAAAGTCAGATATAGCAAGCATATAAATATCAATCTGTCGATTTTATTATATATTTTACATCTTTTATATAAATTGTCCTTTATATAAATAGATGTATTTACAAATTATGATTGATTTTTAAAAAATGTATTTGTAAATAATATTGTATAATAATTGCATAAAATTGTTGAGTTATTTTTATATACGATTTTATATTTAAATTATAGATTCTCTAATTTTACTCAATCTAATTGAATAGACTTTAAAAGAGAAGCAACGTTAATCGCGATAAGCACTAAGCTTTATCAAGACAGCTGTCTCTCGGGGATTTCAGAAGGATATCTGAATTTGAGAAGGTCGATGAGATGAAAAAAAAACTTACGAGATACTTTTTGCAATTGATGGCAACCGTCTTTACATCATCTTAATCTATCATTCACGGAATCTTTTTAATATCGCGATTTGATTCTCTCTCTTTTCTCTCTGAAATTCAGATGAGATCAGTTTTAAAAAATAGTTTGAAAAAGCTATGAGACATCTTTCGCAGAATATATATATAATCACACATAACCCTACAAGACACAATATTCCTAGAATATTATATAAATATTGTTGACAATATTAGTAACAATATTTATACAATATTCTATAATATTGTGCGCTTATAAGGAATACTTACACAATTACTACTAACATATTATCTATTTTATTTCTCTCTCCCTTGCAAAAATTATTTTTTACATCATTACATTCCCTAATTTAATTAAAAACTCTAGTACGTCCACCTGTAGCGATAATTCAGCAATTAAAATCGACTCGAATTTCATTATCAACCGAGTAGTAAAAAAGAATACATGAAATTTTTGCGCGCAAAACATTTTACATCACAATAAACAAAAATATAATCTATTCAATAATTCATTATCGAAGACTCCCATGTTCGGAAATCAAAAAATAAAGTAGCGATTTAATAATAAAAAATACCTCTCAAAAAGTCCTGAAGTTCGTTTACAGAAATTAATATATCCTTCTGCCGATATCGAAGTTTTCCCGGTATCATTAGCAAGCGAGGTAAGTAATGAAAAATACCCCGGGGCATTCACCGATAGGGGGCGCTCGCTCGCGGGAGCCTCGAGCTCAAGCACGCAGACTCGCGCGAGAGAGGATCGGAAGACATGATGTCGACCGACGTAGCACTCAGCAGCGCATCGAGCCGCACCATCTGCGAGGATGTAAATAAAGCGGCGCTTAGCTGACCAGCTGGCCGAGCGTGAGCACCGTCCGTGCGAGACTTGCAATATGCGCGTTGCCGAATGCACGACGACAATCCGGCCGTCGAGCAACTACCAAAGGTAGGAGGTAAACGAGAGGAGTCGCGGGGGAAAGGAAACTCGTCGCTCGTCGTCCTCGACGGCAATCCGTGTCCCCGGGCGTGCACTCGAGACGTGACAAAAAGTCGTCGGGTCTCGTGAGTCGGCAGATTCGCGATTTTACAGCCGCGATCTGCAAAGAGTTCACGCGCCTACCATACGTCAGCGGTGTGACAGTTGTTTTGTGTTTGTGCGCGCGAGGCGGGGGCGGGGGAGCGGAAGGGGGGAGGATAAATACAATAAATACCTAGTTCGAAGTTGTGGACGATAATCGTCTAACGTGCGATAAGAATAGCAAATCAAATACGTCGATCGATTTTTGCCGGAAATAGACAAATGTGGGACGGGAGAGAGTTGTTTGTCCTTCAACAGGAGTGCATGACAATAAAAGGTATATGTACCGTATATACAGACATTTCGTAATCTTCTCTCCTTGTCATCAAACATGTGCTTTGCATTTTATATTATAGGTGTATCGCTGACAGTTATGTATCTCTCGAGGAGAGATATATATCTCTTGAAGATTTATATCTCTTGAGAGTTTTACCGCTTTTGATTCTTATATCTCAAGTGTTATATCACAGAGGAAATATCTTAAAGGAATCTTTAATGTGAATTATTTTCTCATTATTATATCGTATGATTGTATTTCTATTTATCCTGATTGGCTTTGTTGTAAGCTGTTGTAGTTTCCCAGTTTGCTTACATACGGAAAAATTAAACGTAATACCTTTTTAATTCGTGTTTATTAAAAAATTTATACTCTATAATTAATATGATATATATTAATATAGAATATATTGTAGAATAAATTTTCATATAAATATTAATAAAATTATTAAAAAACATAAATAAATGTAAAGAATTGATGATAATCAGACTGATATGATTATTTATATTTATGAAAAATTATTAATATTTAAAAATCAAATTTATAAAGATATTTTTCAATTTTCTAATAATTTGCCTCAAAAAAATCTACTTTTCAATAATCTATAAATAATAAAAGTTAATGAAAAATATGCAAACACATGTCATTATATCAAAAATAAATTATAATCTTTAATAATAAATAAATTATAAACTTTATTATTTTATATATATATATATATATATATATAGAGTTTATATTATTTCTAAAACACTGAGCTAGCTTATTACTGTCGTACGTGCGCGTTTTTATATACATATACACATAGATATAGATTATAACGTAATCTATAATTTTTGTTTGACATATACTTTATGTGTTATCTTCATCATATACATAACAGTTTTTTGTTACAGAGATAAACTATTTCAAATAAATCTCTATCTCTATTTTATTTTTTCCGAATTTCTAATCTTTTATATATAATTAATTATAAAAAAACTAATATTTATACATATATTCTAGTTCAATACATATTATTCTTTACAAATATATTATACATATATCATCAAATTGTTATAGAATATACATAAAATATTAATTTGCATTGAAAGAGTATTAAAATAGCCGAACTTTCATTCTCTGTTTTATTCGCGATACACAAAATTCACCGATTCCTATCAAGTTTTTCATTAACTTTTGTAAGAAGTTCTACTCTATGATTATATATTTTTTTACTGAGTCATCGTTAAAAGAACTGTATTCCACTCATTAATTATTTCTCTTGTTTTTTTCCCTTGTTTCGAGCGATAAGCCACTATTTGATAGACGTGCTCGAGGAAGCGCGTGATAAGCTACGATCGTCCCATGGAGAAGTCTTAACAGTACATTTGTCCCGCATTATCTACGCGCGACTTGACATCTTTCAAGATAATTGAACCGTTCATACAATCGCGGTTGCACACGATTGTACGAACTCCAGAGTGTTATGCTGTAACGATCCATCGACCGACAATAGATTGTTATCTTTGCAGATGAACGTTCCATTGTATGGCGTTCTCGGAGCTGCCGTGATTCTACTTGCTTACATCCTCGGCATAGAAACGATCGCAAAACTCCTCATATGCTTGCTTGCATTAATTTTAGGGTAAGATCAACAAACGCTCAATATTTTCTTTTCTAGAAAGATTTATAAAATATATAATGAGATAGTTAAATAAAAATAGTAAATTAAATATTAGATTAATGTTAAATAAAAATATTAAATTAATATATAATATTGATAGAACTGGAAATAATGAATTTGTTGCAGGACATTGATCTGTATATATCGAACGTATTCACCGAATCTCGACAATGTAATTAAGTCCGAAAGGGAAGACATAACTAAGAAGACTGAAAAGTTCCGGCAGGTAATTAGATATATTGAAATAATTCGCGATTATTGCGAATAATATATTTTATATGATTCATATTTTAATATTTTATATTTTACATTTTAGTACATACTAGAGTTGTCAAGGGAGAGGATGACATTTACATTAGATAGGAGGATAACTGGTAGTCGTATCATTGATGAATCCCTGCAAGTACATACTCAATATTTATAAAACAATATCGACTCTCTCCTAATTATTGGAAAATAACTTAACGCATGTTGTTATTCTTTTAGGAAATTCTAGATTTTTTAATCAGAGATTATGTGGAGCCATGGTACAGTGTTGTTACAGATGATGAGGAATTTATCTATTCTGTTCGAGATACTGCCCAGAAAATCGCCATCAATGTCGCAAACCGGTATATATATATATATATATATATATATATATATATATACATATATATATATACATATAAATTTTTTATTAATTAATTTAATAAATTGTATCAGAATGATTGAAACATTTTTTACACTAGTTTTTTCAACCTTAGATGCCTTTATCTATATGTATGTTATACTTGTATAATGTTTAAAATGTCAAAATATTTATAAAAGAAATATCAATATATATTTTATAGACATTAAAATTTCTAAAGAATGTTAAATATTTATTATACAAAGAAATATAGAAAAAAATGATCATTAGTTTTTCCTATTAATTAAATAGTTTTCTATGCAATATCAAAATAGGGTCAAGAGCGTCGATTGGATACCCTACTTGACCACGCGACTCGTTGACGATGCAGCTTCGCATGTCAGGCTGTATCGACAAGCAAGCGCGAGGATGAAGCAATTACGATCGAACAGGATTCAAAAGGATAGCGCTAGTTCGAGCACATCGGGTGGGACGCCAAAGAAGACACCGACTCATCGCCGGAACAAGAGTGAAACTGACGTGTCCTGGTACTCGCAGTCGAAATTTTATATACCCAACTTATCATCGCTTACCGAACCGATCGAATCGTCCGGCGAAGAGAAAGAGGATGAATCGTTGGAGAAGATATTCTTTGATCTCGAGGTGCAGATGGAGAATAATCTCATATGCAGGGATCTAGTATGCACGAACGACACTCAGGAATTAGATTTTTTGAGCGAGATAGCCGAGATCTTATTGTACCTGGTGCTACCCAAGGCGGACTTTGATTGTTTGACTGTAAGATTTATTTTAAGGGAGCTGTTAGTGAACGTTATAATCAGACCGTTGTTGGATCTGTTTTCCGATCCTGATTACATTAATCAGGCATGTATATGGCTGGTACGTACAACAACAAAATGCTCATTGATCAATTTTGTAATTGCAAATTCAAAAGCTTTGACCAATTTATTTAAGTTTAAAGCCTATTTTTGAGGATTATTAAGAATGTTATTAAAAACATTTATATTGTTTATTTCCACATTTTATCGCATATTTCATACATATAATATTAATTTCCTATCTGAATTAATGTAATATTTTTTCTTTTTTTTATTTTTAGTGTACCAAGGAGGGTAGTTTACCAAGTGATATCTTTTTAACAGTAATTAGAATAACAGACAATTTAGACGAATTAATTGCGACAAAGAATATAGTTTGTAAAGAAATAGCACACTTACGTTCAAAGGATTCCGGCGGAGATGACGATTTGTCAGTAAAGCAGCAATTGAATAGTCTGCTTTACGTGAAAAAAATCCTAGAAACGAGGATCATTGGTATGCAAGAGGGCTTGGAAACGGAAACGGATGGAATCGGCGCTCAACCGGAATGGAATAGATTGCTTATACCGGGCCAAAAACTAGTTAACTTGCCATTAGACGAGTTGCTGAAGAATAATATTGCCCTCAGTTACTTCATCGATTATATGACCTCCATAAATGCGGAAGCGTACCTGTTCTTTTACCTGAATATCTACGGTTGGAGAGTCTCGGCCGAGCAACAAATATCGGATATAGAACTACAAAAAATCCAAAATGCTCAATCTGGCGGTCCAGGTATGATTGGCACTAGGCGCAAGAACGCAGATCTAGATAATCTGAAGGAAGCGGCGACGAAAATTTACCAGCAATATCTTAGCGACAAAGCATCGCCTAAATTACAATTGGACGACATGCTAGTGAAGAGTTTATTGACCAAGACGAAGACAGAGTCAGTCAAAGAAACGTGGTTCGACGAGCTGCGAAACTGCTGTTACGAAAAACTGCAAAATGAAGATAGATTCCTACCGGGCTTTAAAAGATCGCTAGCTTACGTCAAATTACTCGCCGAACTGGATCTATTAAAAGATCCAGTTTCCGAAGATGATGCAAAATCGCTGGACAGCATAAGTTTGTCCAGTACAAACAACGAATTGGACACCCTGGAAGAATTGTCCGAGACATACGATGCGAAACCTGTTTCGACCGCGAAGGAAGGTACTAAAAAATCGAATTCTTCGACAAGCTTAACAAGTATAGGAGAGGCGAATGAAGGTAGAGCATCTGACGAGTTTGATGACACGGACTCGAGCAATCTTAAGGGCGGGAAAAATGTCCATAAAGAATCCATTACAGAAATGGAGCAGGTCGGCGAGAAGAAAGATGTTCCATTTTACATGGAAACAAACGCGGAACAATTCGTTAAGTTAGACGAGAACAACTACGACCAAAATGCAATCAAAAAACTGCAGCAGGGCCGTTTCGAGATCACTGCCACGATAATAGAAACTGGTATCGTCAACGATCGCGGGAAAACATACGGTATATACGCTGTAGCGGTCACGAAAAATTATGATTCGGGCTATAAAGAGAAATGGCACATCTACAGACGATACTCCGACTTTTATGATCTACATCAGAAAATCAAGGAGAAGTATTATGATTTGGCCAAAATACCTTTCCCCGCGAAAAAAGCTTTTCACAATATGGAACGTACCGTATTGGAAAGACGAATGTTGATGTTGAATGCTTGGTTGTGTCAACTAACAAAACCTGCAATTGTTGATGGTCATATGGGATTGCAGAATTTATTGTTAGCTTTCTTGGAACAAGGAGATTATGACAAAGGAGTTACTGGTGGACAAATATCCAGAACGGTAAATTAGATAAAAATATATTTTTTACTTGTACGATCAAATGAATGAAATTTATTGGAAAATGGAAAAAAAATATTAATTACTTGTAATAACTGTAAGAAATAACTGAATAAATTATATAAAACTCTTATTATAACTAAATAACTGAAATAAATTATATAAAACTCTCATTAATATAATAATAATAATAATTATTATTATTATTATTATAAAAAAATAATTTAAATAAATTATATAAAACTCTTATTAATATAATAATAATAATTATTATTATGACTGAATAAATAACTGAAATAAATTATAAAAAAAATAATTGAATATTTCTTTTACAGATAGATACTTTAATGAATCCTTTGAAGACATCCATGAAAAGCGTTACACAGGCAGTCAAAACGATGCCGGATAACATGTTGAGTACGGTAGACGGCGTCATGGACAATCTCAGCAAAATTTTTGGCAATCCCAAGAAGACTAGTATATTTTACGAAAACACCAAAGTTGGCGCCAGTCTTGATACAGAGGTACTTTCGCGTGTTACACTTGTTTGCAAAATCACTGTGTTAAATCGATCAATTAATCATTTTAATTTTTAGACTGACGATAACATACCCTTACGAATTATGTTACTATTAATGGACGAGATTTTTGATCTAAAAGTGCGAAATCAATGGCTAAGGCGGCGCATCATAACATTGCTACGCCAAATCATTCGCACAATGTTTGGGGACATAGTTAACAGGAGAATAGTGGAGTACGTATCATTTTTGACGAGCCCATCGAAAGTTGCAGGATATTTGCGCTTGTTCAAGTAAGTAAATTGATACATATAAGTTTAATTATCTATTATATAGTTGTTATAAAATTATTTATCTCATTCAACGTTTAATTTATGAATAAAAGGAATAAATTATAAATCATGTTTTTTACAGAAATAGCTTCTGGCCGAACGGCGTAAAAGCCGAGAATAAACCACCGCGAGATACAGAAATAAAGAACAGAACGCGAGTGGCAGCTAAGGTAGCTTTGCTTTCGTGTCTTTCGGATGAACTGAAACATATCATAGGTAGCGAGACGACGAGGCGCGGATTGTTGAGAGTGTTCGAGCTGTTTCAGCGGCCCGTATTAAACAGAAGACTGTTATACGTGTTGCTGGAAGGTATCGCGGAGACCCTGTTCCCGCAAAACAATCTTGTGACAGTTTTCAGGAAACTATATTCGGTGTCGCCGAGAATAAGGAGTAAAAGCAAAACGAGATCTTGATGGAAGAGCAGGACGGACTAATGTTCGGATGCACTAGTGCGAATATGACTGAACAGTCATACTAACTCGTGAAGTTAAGAATCTCGACTTTATCGATCTTGAATAAAGATAATCAGTTCTTTCAGGTAGCTTAAAAATTTACAATATTAAGAAAATACTCTCGTGCAAAGTGTCCAATATAAAAGAAACATATTTAAAATATTTGTATCTATCACTCATTGAGCTCTTATTCGAGTATACTTGTATCTTTAATTTTTCTTTTTCTTTTTATCTGTACATGACGAAATATTTAAAAATAGATAAAGAATGTTATTTCTTTGAAAAACGCGAACAAACACGTGAGTATCGCGATTACAATTAAGTATCCTCGCTTATTTCTTAGAGAAAAATTTACTTGTTTGTCTTTTATGTTATAGGCTCTAGCGATGTGTGAGGATATTAATTGTAACATGTACTTAATATATCTATGTATATGTGAGAGAGTTTATAGTCGTTTATAGAATTTATAGAATTTATAGATTGTATCCATAATGTCCTACTTTTTATAATTTTTCACTTGGTCACTTTATTTCTAAAATACTGAATGCAAACTCTTGTTGACGAACACAGATTTTCTGATATTCTATAAATTATTTGCGTTATGATTAAGTATAAATAAGCAATATTTTAATGATTAAGCTAGCAGTAGTTTATTCGAGCTCAATGGGTTAATGAGACATCAATCGTTACGCTTATTGAGATATTACTGGATGTCGTTTTCTCTTCAAACAATCCTCTGAATTACAATGCAAAGTGCATATTGTACGCTATTGTAACGGACCCGTCGCGCCTACAGCTTCCGACAGGGAACAAAACGAAAGTTATACGCTTTCATATCTTGACGATTTATACGTTCAACGATGCACACATCGGAAAAGTTCCATTCTATTAAACCTTTTGTTAATTATATATAATTGATGCCAGCAAAATTCCAATAGAATAATGTATTAGGAATATTCTAAAATTATTGAAGGAAAAACAAAATAAAATTTGTTAAAAAAATGCTTCTTTTAATTACATTATATTGAAATTTAATGTAAAAAAATATATAAAAATAAGTAAACTTTCTTTTAAAATAAGATGATGTTCTAGATTTATATGTATTATAATTAAATTAAAATATAATGAAAAAATAATTCATGGCAAAATAAAAAAAGCAGATAGTATAGAACTTTTTCCGATGTGTGGAATTATTCTAAGTGATCTAGAGGCCAAAAAGTACGATATACAAATTTCAATATCGATATTACGTAACCGAGTTTGCACCTCGGACTGCTATTCTCTTGTGGGTATTAACGTAGAATAATATAAAACGAAATTAAAAAAAAAACTCGCGAATTCCTTGTGATTACCTCGTAGGAAGATGCAATAAGATTCACGAAAACATTCCACTTGCATTTTAAGCTATTAAACTGGGTAATTAGTTAATTATTCTTTTTACAAAAGCGCTCGGGAAACTATAACGTACTACGTAGATAGAAAAGAACACTCACTATACATCACTCAATTTACTTAAGTTGTAGGCGATGCAATCAATTTAAGACAGATGATATAATTTATCGCAGACGTTATACTTAATTATTTATGTTGAAATTATACTCGATAGTTTATTCGTGCCATTCGCGGTCGAGTAAGTACCTATCTCTGTATCTACTTATTCATGAAAAATTATCAGCAACAATCTCGACAGCGTTCTTCGAACATCTGTAAAAATTTAGAAGGGGACTCCCTTCACTGAAAATACAAAACGCTATTGTATAAAATTGTTATACATCACTCCATTGTACGTCTGTATATAGAGTTATCTCATGTTAAAACGCCATACACACTTATCATGTTCACTTATTAAAGGAACTATTTATAACTTAGGTAGGAGTTTCTAGTTTTATCCCTACACGTATCCCGAGATTTATATTTGTAGACGATTATATATAATTCTTTAAAAATAATAATAATAATTATACATATATAATATGCATATAAAACTATATACATTGTAAATTATGTTCTTAAAATTTCGAAGAGATTGTAAAATTAATATCTAGAATTATTAAAACTGTTATATTAACAGTCAACCTTAAAGCTGCAGGTTGAATTAATCTTTCTTTAGTCTTTAAGAAGATGAATCGTGCGCTGATTCCTTTAACTTTTTTATAATTCACGCTAAAAAATCGTCATCAAACTAATTTAAATTTAATGATTTGGCTATTAAGCGAACGTTTTTTGTTTCGAGCTTAGTTAAGCCTAGTCGGCCGCCGGTTCAAGCGGGTCTCTAAAGAAGCGAAAGAATGAACGACAATAGACGAGGGTGTTCGAAAACAAAGAAGATTATTACCGAAGGAACTAACGTCGCCGCGAAAACGAGGGAGGCAGAAGGGGATGTTCGAGAGAGAAGGGCAGGAAGAGATGGGGGGCGACTAGTGCTTCCGCCATGAACATCCCCCTGGATCGCATACTTTGTACCGCTTCTCTCCTAACTAGAACTTCACAAGTCGATTTTTTAACTTGGATAAAAAAATAACAAACTTATGATTTTTTTCAAATTAATAATCTTTAACAGATAAGCATTGCAATCTCTTCAAATCTTTAGAGAATCTCTTGTCCAATAATTCTATTTATTAGCATTAAAAATCAAATATTGTATTAATAAATATAAAAACTACTACTGCTGATTAGAATTAAAATAGTCTGAGAGATCGTGGATTCGCATTCTCAAATTTCTCCGGGCATCTCTAACGGGGATATTTCACCGAGACGCAAAATAGCGTCGTAGGGGGAGAGGGGTTGAGGGGACGATGATCGTCGGAGCGTCGAGGGCTTCGCGCGATGCAACGACGAGGGGTACCCGAGGGAGAGAAAGAGGATGTTCGAGATAGAAGGGAGCGAAAAGAGAGAATGAAAGAGGGGGGGGAGGGGGACCGAGGGGGCAGAAGGAAAGCGAGAACGCGGGCCATTGTGCGAAAAGAATCGGGTACCGCGTGCTATACGTTTTTGAAAAAGGGGGTTCGCTCCTGGCGCAACGCGGCCCCCGGGCTCGGTCGGAAAGAAAAGGGGGTAGGAGGGAAGGGAGGAGAGAGGAAGGGAGAGGGAAATAGCGGCCATACGTGAGCGACTACCGAACGGCCCCCGCTTACTCTAACGAAAGAAAATCGATATGCATGATTCACGCACGCGAGAGCGTGTCGAAGGGGGTTGGAGGGGAGCGGGACGCTCTCGCGAGGGGAGCAGAGGGATACAAAGAGAAAGAGAGAGAGAGAGAGAGGGAGGCGAAAGAAAGTCATGCGACGACGAGGGGGAAGAGGGGTGGCCGTTCGCTCTCCAGCGACGCACTTCTCTTCCCTCGTTCTCGAAGGGGGACGAGCCTCCATCGGGTGTAGTATGACGTGGAGTAGTAGTACGCGCACCAGGGACACGCACCGTGTAATCCTATGCGTGAATGTGCGCTCGCTCGCGCGCGCGCGCGCGCGCACCCGCTCCCGCGCGATGGGGAGGGATACGTCCCGCGATGCTACCCCCTCGGTCACTCGATCAGTCGTGTCCGAGGTACCCTCGCTGCCGTAAACCGTTATCGCGTTAACTCCGCGTCGCCGCGTGTCCTCTCGACCGGCGTGGACGCGCCGCTTCTCGTTAACCGAGTTTTCCCGCCCCGAGACGGAAAATCGCTTGCTGGATTTTCGGGGAAGTTTTCCGCGCGCGTGACAAAAATGTGTGTCTCGGATGCGTGAGTTATCTTCAATCGCAATCTCGTTCGATCTTGCGATTTTTCATAAGATTGAAGCGATCTCGATTTTTTTTATATATGCGTGTTATTATTTAAATGTCGTGTCTGGGTTAAACTTTGTAAAAATTTCGCGATGTGCGCGTTCTTCCCGAGTTAAGTGGAGAAAGATTTCCGCGCGCGCGAGACGCAAAATCGTTTTATCGAGTGTAATGTTTTAAATGTTTTTAAAAATATGTCTTAAGACGTTGTTTTAAACATGTCGGAAAGTCTGAAAGAAGTTTAAAAGGAATGCTTGAAAAATTGTAGTGTTTTTTAAACGTCTTTCCATCATTTTTTTAAAAATAATTTCTTGTCTGTCGAATCAATTTTTACGCAGTTTGTTAATTTTCGCTCATTATTTGTTCCGTCAAAAAAAAGTTATTCGTGTGTTTAATCCAGGAGCATCGAAAAATATAAACAAAATAAATATAGAAATTAGAATATTAATAGTCGATTGAGGTTACTGATAATTGTCTCTTGACCTGTGAGATGTTAGAAATTTGCATATAAAATCAATTCTCAAAATAGAAAACTAAAAAGTTTGTTTTTCATCAAGATGGAAAATATTAAAAATTTAATTCCATATAAACATTAAATTTTTTATCGCTATAAAAAGTCTTCTTCCTAAACAAAATTATTTAAAGCATGATATAATTACAAACTAAAAACTCGAATAAACATTTCGTTTGTGTAAAAACTGAAACGTTTGATTTGAAAAAAACATCAATATAATGATTAGAAATTTATTTTACGAAAATTTTTTTTGGCAAAATTAGAATCCCCGAAAGCCGACATTTCGCATCCTCCGAGAATGAATCTGAAACGAAGACTCGTCGAAACTGCGACGAAACAATCTGAAGAGCAAAACACCCTCCGTCGACGCGACTGCGCGTTTTCCCGCCACGAGGTATAATAACGTAGAAATGAATGGAAGGAATGGAGGGTGAATCAGTTCGCGAATATCGTTCACGTTACAAAACACGCGTCGCTTTCAATAGAGAGAATCAGTGCCAATTTCTAAATATTTCGGCACTCATGAAAGACATACGATATATCATTTTTTTAAAATAAAATTATATGCGTAGACAACGCTTTATTTTTATAGTAAAAAATTTAGCAGCTTGAAATAATATTAGATTTCTGTGATGGTATATATGATTTTTTATAGAAATATTTAAATCAGCAGTATATATCTAATTGTAAGAGAATTTATATCTTAGAATTAAATAATTAATTTATCTTTTGATAATTTCTAATTGAATAACGGAGACAAAAATAAAAGGAGAATGAGTGTATAATAAATATTCATAAAATTAAAAATTATTATACTAACAATGAGCAAAAATTCCAAAATAAATATTAGTAACATTTTCATCGCTGCACGTGCGGTTTACGATGCATTTATATCTACCTACAGCGATTTAATATGAATGAATAAAAATTAATATGCATAGGTTTATATAGGGAATAAATATTCGAATAAATATTCAACTGTAGAAGGACTTTGATTCGAAAAATCTGCACGCTCGAAGCCTGTGACGCGAGTTACAAACGTTGTAATAGGATTACGAAAGAGGGACGCGTGCTGATCGATTACGCGTAATTTTCCACTCGCAGGATCGGTATGACTCAGAAAATACGATGTGTATACGAGAGAAAAAATTCGTGTGTATGCAACGCATAGAGTCTGCATGACGCATCTCAAGAACTCCCAGAGAGAGCTAACTTTCTTTTGCTCGTGAACACTTTTGGCAATTTAAAATCAATCTTTTGTCAACATTTGCATATAAATGAAAAACGATGAAAAATAGATACGCCTCTTACTGCTTTTTTCTCAAACTTTAATAGACTTTTCGTTCAAAAATTCCTTGTAAAAAATATATCATGTCCTAAATGTGAAAAAATGATGAAAAAATATTTTTGCCTCTGAGAGTTGAACAAATAATTGATAGCGAAAAGCGCGATGGAAAGCATGACGAATGAAGAGGGAGAAGAGAATATATATATATATATGTATATGTGGAGCAGTATCGATCCGCATCGTAATCAAAGGATCAAGAATTATAGTCCATTTGTCGGAAAGTCATGGAATAATAATCGGTCGGGATCGTAGGGGGATATTTTGGAACAGGATGATTCGGTGCGTTCGCTTGGGGGCGGTTTGAATAGTTGGTGCAGAGGGTAACTCCGGGGATTTCGATGCAAGGCGTGCAGCGTCGCAAATCCAAT